AGAAGAACAACCATCTCTGCAGCACTCCACCAATCAGGCCTGTGTGGTAGAGTGGCCAAACTGAAGCCACTCCTCAGTAAAAGGCAAATGGCAGCCTGCCTGGAGTTTGCCAAAAGGCACCTGAAGGACTCTCAGACCATGAGAAACAAAACTCTCTGGTGTGATGAAACAAAGATTTAACTCTATGGCCTGAATGCCAAGCATCATGTCTGGAGGAAACCAGGCAACACTCACCACCTGGCCAATACCATCCCTACAGTGAAGCATGGTGGTAGCAGCATCATGCTGTGGGGATATTTTTCAGCGGCAGGAACTGGGAGACTAGTCAGGATCGAAGGAAAGATAAATGCAGCAATGTACAGAGACCTCCTTGATGAAAACCTGTTACAGAGCGCTCTGGACCTTTAGACTGGGACAGCAGTTCATCTTTCAACAGGACAACGATCCTAAGCACACAGCCCACATAACAAAGGAGTGGCTATGGGCCAACTCTGTGAATGTCCTGGAGTGGCCCAGCCAGAGCCCAGACTTGAACCTGATTGAACATCTCTGGAGAGATCTGAAAATGGCTGTGCACCGATGTTCCCCATCTAACCTGATGGAGCTTGAGAGGTACTGCAAAGAAGAATGGAAGCAATTGCCCCAAAATAGGTGTGCCAAGCTTGTAGCATCATACTCAAAACGACTTGAGGCTGTAATTGGTACTAAAGGTGCTTCAACAAAGCATTGAGCAAAGGCTGTGAATACTTATGAACATGTGTTTTTTTTTTTTTTTTTTTTTTTTTTTTTTTTTTTAATAAATTGCAAAGATTTCAAAATGAACCTTTAATATCACTTTAATGCATTCCTTTGTTTAGGCATCAGTATGCCCACTCACCAGTTTTATAGCAATATGATGCAGATTCTGTTTTTCTATTTCAGTTTGTTTGGAAACTTGTTATATATGATTTTTTGTAGGATTTTGGATGTCTAGTACATTTAGCAGACATTTTTATGCTGCTATCAACATGAAATATTGATTTTTTTTATTTTTTTTGCAGTGCGACCACCTTGGATAATTTAACCCACTTTAAATTCAGGCTTCAGGGTATAATATCAGATATGGTTTGTCATGGTTGTGATTTTGAATTAGTTTAGTAAATAATTCTCAGAAAAAGGTGCTGTGTATTTACACATTACTCTCAGTTAATGTTTTATAATGAACTACAGTTAATATGCTTAAGCAAATAAAAATATAGACATTCGTGGAATGAGTATTGTCTGGTCATAATGGAAATGTTGTAATTACTTTATATATCCTTGTGGCTAGAGTTATGTCATGGATTAGCTGGAAAATGGGTTTATAGGAATTAAATTGTTAGAGCTGTGCCTTGTCATTTTTAATAGCCTAGTATGCTTCAATGTATTCATCATTCTAGTGGAGGGAATTACAGAGTTATGTCTGTTTTTGGTGCCTGCTTGTTTATACAGGTTTTAAACTACCCCAATTAGACATGCTGCAGCCTCCCTCATCCAATCATCTGATTTTCCTCTGTATTAACAAAAATTGGAGGGCTTGAGCTGCTTAGTGGTTTCAAACACCCTTCCTGTGGTTAGGTAAACCCGTTCAAAGCAATAGGTTTTTGGCTGATTTGCTCTGAAAAAGACCAAGTTTTGCTGAATCCTGCAGCAGTCCTCAAAATTTTAAGAAAGATTGAGGCTCATTGGTTATGTACTCATTCACATTCGAGAACACTTGATATGGTGTGCTAGTAGGATGCTGTGACGAACGTGGTGCCCGACCCCTGCCCTTCTCACCAACTTGTGACAAAACTGGCGAATCTCACACCGCGCTGTCACTTGCATAACCGTACCACTCTGTTGCCCTCTGCACAAAGATTTTCCAGCTCACGGGACCATAATCTAGGGTACCACAGCCTGAGAGCAGATGTCACTGAGTTAAGTGAATTAAGCAATTAACGCTTTAAGCTGCCGACACCTCCTTTTGACTGAGAAGTCTAACACTTTTCATGCTAGGATTTAATGATAAGGTCGAAATGGTGAAAATAAAATATTTACAGGAAAAAAAAAAGTTGAAAATTAAGAATACTTGCAAAGGTTTAGCAGAGTCCGATTGTCCAAGCAAAAATTGTTCCGTGGCTCTCTCCAATCCGGTTAGGTGTTCTTTGATGTTAAAACGAGAGCTTCGCCTCATTCATGGTTTTTTCTCTGTCTCAGTTCATCTAGTTTTAAGGATCCCATGCCCTCTGTAGCTGGACTTTTCTTCACAGAGGGGTGGAATCCATCATGACCTTCAGCTGCTGTAGCCCAGCATCCCTAAGGGTTGGCTTATTGTGTGCTCAGAGAGGCCTTCTTGCCTGGCCATCAGTCTGGTAATCCTCTGACAAACCTAGTGAGCTTCTGATTACTGGATGTACTTTGTTTTTACTCTATTACCATTGAACTACATAGACTTTACTGTGTAATAATCAGCAGTTCCTAAAATATTGTAGCTGCCACATTTGCTTAGGCTGTTTTGCACTGCGATTAAACTGCATTCACAGTTGTATACTTTTAACACGTTCATATCCATTGACTTCAGTGGTAATGCCTGTCAATGCACTCCCATTGCTGCCAGACTCATCCACCTCACTAACCGCTCTGTATCTGCCACCCCTCTCTGCCAATCCCTCCACTGGCTCCCAGTTGCCCAACGGATATAAAATTCAAAACACTAACTATGACATACAAAGCCATCCACAACACTGCCCCAATTTACATATCCGATCTTATCTCTAAATATCACCCAAACCATACTCTCCGCTCCTCGCAAGACCTCCTACTCTCTAGCTCCCTTATCTCCTCCTCCCATGTTCGTCTCCAAGACTTCTCAAGGGCGTCACCCATCCTCTGGAACGCCCTACCCCAATCTATCAGACTATCGCCTACTCTACTTAGGATTTTAGGCGATCACTGAAAACCTATCTCTTCAGGGAAGCCTATCCCGCCCTCTGCTAATACTGGAATCCTCTATGCTTCCAACCACTCCATCCCCCACAGTTTTACCTATTGTACCACTCACCCCTCCCTCCTAGATTGTAAGCTCCAAGGAGCAGGGTCCTCAATTCCCTCTTGTATTGAACTGTATTGTTACTGTATTGTCTCCCACTATAATGTAAAGCGCTGAGCAAACTGCTGGCGCTATATAAATCCTCTATAGTAATAATAATGTGCATTCATTACAATGGAATCACATGCTAGAAAACAGACACGTGTAAATCAAGCTCTAAAGCACATTGTTTTTAGCCGTGTTATACAATGTGGTCTACCTTTGTTCTCCCTTGTGTTCTGAGGTTACCAGTGATTTATTTTATAAGCTGTGCGCATGCTTTGGGGGCTGCTGTACTGACATCTGTTTAAGTGGTTCTAAAGTCTTAAAGACAAAGTCTGGGATAGGCAAAAAAAAAAAATCACTCATTAGTACACACCCTACAATAAACAGTTAATACAATTTTGAAAATCCTTACCATCTAGGAGTAAAAGTCTAATTGAATTTTCATGACCTCCTCTCTGTATTTTGAAAGATAACAGCATCTGCTCTGCCAAGGAGCCAGCAGGGATTACATCGTATTCTCGCCTCTCTGCAGTAAAAGGAAACTATAGTTCCCATCAACCACAGGGAATTGTAGTGAATGTGGGCTGGGACACTGGGCCTGTACATGATGAATGTGTTTGAGAGTCCCTAACCGCTCACCACTGCAAGTGGAGCTGAATTACATCACTGCTTCCTGGAGAAAGAGTTACAGAAGAGATGGGGCTGTGGGAATAGGAGGCATTGCAGCCACTGGTCTTACAAACAGGAAACCAAAGAGACTTAATGTGTTGATTTGAAAATTAATAGACTATTTCAGAGCAACTACTGACTGAACCAGAAGATGGATAACATATTCAGTGAAGGTAGGAAATTAGCAACAAGGACATGTATAGAAGTTTATGCTCAGATTTTTGCTTTATATTTTTTACCTTTTAATGTATTCTCTGCGGGAGCCGTTGATTCCTACTACTGCCAATCATATTTGGCAAGGGGGTGGGACCGATCCACACTTTGTCTATAGACTGGCAGCGCAGCTCGGGATCGAGTCAGAAGGAGTGCCCCCATAGGAACTGGCCTCCCATGAGAACCTTCGCTGGAGGAGCCAGGAGCTTCCAGTGAAGGACCCCAGAAGAGGAGGACTGAGGCCACTGTGTGCAAAACAAAGCAGGTAAGTATAACACGTTTATTATTTAAAGGATTATAAAAGGGTAACAATCTAAGTCAAGTGCTACAGGTTTCTGATACCTTAGAGATAATTGGTATCTGGTAAGAGACTGAAGCATTTGGTGGTGTGACATATGAAAAAAACAATTTGTGCAATCCAGGAAGCGCTTGACTGCACAAATTTTGTTTGTAATATTTTGTCCATTTGTGGGTAATAACATCTGCTATATCTCTGGCCCTTTTGCTTACAGTTAGCCAGGGAATCTCCTGGCCTACAGGTAAATGAGGCAAGGTGATGCAACTCTGTGTGGGAACCTGTCACTTACATGATATTTAACCAGCACAGGCATGCTTGTGGAGTACTGGTCTACCTCTGTACACCAGCTCAGAGATGGTTTTAGTTACCACCAGTTTACTAAGTGGAGAATTGGCAGTAATTAAGAATTTGTAGCTGCCATTGTGATAGGTTCTTAAACTGGAAGTAGTAAGAACTACCAGAATTTGCTGCACGCGATGCAAATGCTTGCCTGAATTAGGCGCAGGTAGTTCTTACACGCAAGGGAACTTGTGTGGCCATGGTCCACCTATGTCAAAAGCTGCAAAAGCATTTTAAAAGTATATAACTTCAACTACCTTTCTGTCTGGATCTGATTGTTTTAGCCTCTGCATTTTTGTCATATACTGACAGTTTCCATTGCCCAAGTTTGTGTCAGGTCTACTCTTTGGATTTAAACTATGTATCATTTTATTCCCATGTTATCAAAGTAAATACTCTTGTCTTTGTTTTCCATTTACAGGCAACTCTGCAGTTTTGTGTGGTTAAACCTCTGATGGCGATCATCACTGTCATACTTCAAGCTTTTGGCAAATATCGGGATGGTGATTTTAAGTGAGTCATGAGTGTGTAATATCTGACCTGCCTTCCATGGGAGATTAACAAAATGTGCACCTGTTTATAAACGTCATTTGTAACTCAGACCATGGATCCGAGGTTGCTAACCCACACACTTGTCAAATTAGGATAAATGGCTGTGTTCCTGCAGCCACTGCTTCCTCATACACTTTAGAGGGCTGTCTACGTGCAGCACCTGGCATCTCAAGCCATATAAGCACACAGCCCACGTGAATAAACTCTGAGTTTGTACAATAGTTTTGTATGCAGGGGCATCAATATAGGGGAGATGAGGGGTCCAGACCCCTCTCCCTAAAGTGTCTATTTGACAGGTGCAGCAGCTCTGCTAAAAAAAAAAAAAAACCCCAGTTGACAGACCTACATTCTTTTTTTTTTTTTTTTTTTTTTTTCCGTTAACTGAGGTAGGCTATCTCATTTAAGCACCTAAAGCCCACCATACATGGATTGAAATTTGGCAGTCTGGTTTTACACAAGTCGGTCCTTTCAGTAGTACAACCGGCCTGTTGTTTTTTTTTCCAAACATTCAGTGCCACCGGCCTTAGCCAGCCACACTGATCATTGTATTCTGACAACAAGGAAGAATTCTCCCTACTGTCAGAATACAATACCACAGTGGGGAGATTTGCCCTAACCAGACAATCAAGGTGGCATAGGATATTTTAAATTTTTTTTTTTTTTTTTTTTTGCTCCAACCCGCTGGTTTGACCAAAAAAAAGATCAATGTATATACTGCCTAAGACTAAGCCTTTTCACCTATTCTCTATCTACACCACCTCCCTTGGTCAGTTTAGAACCTTCCATTGTTTCCAATACCATCTCTATTCTGATGACACCCAAATCTCTCTCTACTCCTTAGTTCACCCTTTTGATAGAAACTAAAATTAACAGAAAAAAATTAATAAAACTAAAATTGTATAACATGCAAAACAAAATCTTTAAAAAACCCACGTACAAAAACATTCAAGCTCAAACGTGCGCAACTGTACATGCAAATGATCACACTACATTTATTTGGTATCTCCATGCACGCTGATGAGCAATAATTCTAGGCCATAATTCACTGTTAAATCTGAATAGTGTTGCTCTTAGACAAATTTAGGTACTGTAGTTTTTTTTCTTCTTTTCACAGGCATGTACAATTTAGGCATGATATATTTCACACCTCTTTTTCAATGCAAACCCATTTTTTATATTTTTTGCCAATAAATTGGGTATTTTAGAGCTGATTTACACTACCTTCGACTTCAACACATATTAAAGTGCCTACCTCTTTATATTTCAATGTTTTTTTATTAAGTAAAAAAACAGCAGACAAAGGAAATAAAACCCACAATTGTAAGTTGCAGGATTAAAAATCGTAAGCCTATTACCTAAGGAATCGAAACTACGGAAAACAATAGTCTGAAATAAAGAAAAGGAAGAGTAGAGTAAAGGAGGATCAGCCAGCAGCTTTCTAAGTAACAGATATCGAATCCATGATTCCCAAGTACTTTCAAATTTAGAAGCATTGTTAAGAATACTAGTGAGCTTATCATTAATTATTTTTGACATAGTCAAGCGGCATCACCGATCGCTTCCAGTATTTGGCTATCATAATTCTCGCCGCCAGGAGAATATAAAGACTCAATTTAACCGATTTCTTGGGGATGTCTGTGGGCAATTGCTGAAATAGGGCCACCTCTGGGAACCTACGAACGTTCGCTCCTGTCACCGAGTAGAGAACATTTAATCGTATCCAAAATCTAGTCACCAAAGGACACCGCCACCAAGTATGGCACATAGTGCCCTCCTGCCCACATTGTCGAAAACAGGAAGGTGATGTAGTAGGGTATATTTTAGCAAGACGCATAGGGACTAGGTACCAACGTAAGAGCATTTTATAATTAGATTCAATAAGTGTGGTGTTAATAGAGATTTTAGATAAAGCATTAGCTATGTCCCGTCAAGTATCAAACTCTAAGGAGATATTTAAATCCTTTTCCCATTGTATCATATAAAAAAAAGTTTAATGTTTGGATGAATAAGGGAAGTACCGTTGTGTTCAAAAGTTTACATACCCTGGCAGAAATTGTGAAATTTTTACATTGATATTGAAAATATGACTGATCATGCCAAAAAAATGCTCTTTTATTAAAGGATGATGATCATATGAAGCCATTTCTTATCAAATAGCTGTTTGGCTTCTTTTTAAATCATAATTATAACAGAAATCACCCAAATGGCCCGGATCAAAAATGTACATACCCTGGAATGTTTGGCCTTGGTACAGATACACAAGGTGACGCACATAGGTTAAAATGTCAATTAGAGGTTAATGTCCCACATCTGTGGCTTTTTAAATTGCAATTCATGTCAGTGTATAAATACTCAATGAGTTTGTTAGCTCTTACGTGGAAGCACTGACTAGGCTAGATACTGAGCCATGGGGATCAGAAAAGAACTGTCAAAAGTCCTGCGTAACAAGGTAATGGAACTTTATAAAGATGGAAAAGGACATAAAAAGATGTCCAAAGCCTTGAATATGCCAATCAATACTGTTAAATACTTATTAAGAAGTAGAAAGTTCGGGGATCTCTTGATGCCAAGGTCAGGTAGACCAAGAAAGATTGCAGACATAACTGACAGAATAATTGTCTGGGATTCAAAGAAAAACCCACAGAAAACCTCAAAAGAAATACAGGCTGCTATGGAAAAAGACAGTGTGGTTGTTTTGAAGGAGCACAATATGATGACACAGGGTGGAGAAAAAATGGTGTATCTGCAAATAAACATAGAAGTGCTGGGGAGGTATTTGGGTATTTTTTTTGGATGTCGGAAAATGATTTAAATTTCCGAGTTACGGGATGGACCAGATGACGCAGTTGGAAAAGATTGGCTGAGGTCCATGGGAGCATTCGGTGTAAGGACAAACTATCCGGAAGGGAGGGATTAAAGAGAACATTAGTCAGAGGGGAGCACTCGGAGGACAAAGCAAATTTAGCCCTGTATCTCCTCCAGAAAGACGAGGAGAATTGAATGGGTCCAAGTAAAAGGTGTCGGTGAAGAGAAGCGATGGCCGCCGCTGACATATCCCAGAGCAGAGAGCATAAATGGGTCGGAGTAAGTTGTAAGGTTTCAATCTCAGTCCATTTGTTAGGGGGGCAACTGGTGGACCAGGAGATTAAAAACGAAGGCGGGTGGCATAGTAATAGGTAACATTATCCGGCACTCCTAAGCCTCCCCTAGAGCGTAAAGAGAGTACAGTACGTGCAATTTCATGTTGTTTGCCAAATAAAACGTAACAGATTTTTGGATGGAATGTAGCTTGGACATAGGGATGGGAGCGGGGAGAGTTGCAAATAGATACAAACGTTTGGGCAGTACGGTCATTTTTATAACCTTTATACATCCAAGAAAGGAAATAGGTAAGGCGTCCCAAACTTTTAAGGAACAGGAAATAGCGACAAATAGGGGGGGAAAATTAGCCTCATATATGGAATGGTAGGAGGAAGTAAGGTTGGTACCCAAATACTTCAGCGAGTGGGTACACCAACGATATTGGTAAGATGCTTGGAGAGAGGTTAACATGTTGGGTGGGATATGAAGTGGGAGTGCTTCGGTTTTGGATGTACTTACCTTGTAGCCTGACAGGGTCCCAAATAATTGTAAAGTTTTATAAAGAACCGAAAGAGGTGCAAGGGCTAGTTAGAGTTAGGATATCGTCTGCAAATAGGGACAATTTGTATTCACGCCCATGGGATGTATCCCTTGTATGTCGGGGTTAGATCAAATGGCAATGGCCAGCGGCTCTAGGCAGAGGATAAAGAGTAAAGGGGAAAGTGGGCACGCAGTGTGTCCAGATCAAAATAGCCACTCCAGCTTTCCCAGTGGGATCAAAAGCCGAGTAGGAGTGGGAGAAAAACCTCGAGGCAAAACGAAAAGAGCCAGTCGACTTAAAATGGGTCTCCTGGACAAAAATGTCTGCTCCTGAGGATCGAAATTCCTTCAAAGCCATCCACCGTTTTTGGATGGAGTTAAGACCTTTGACATTGTATGATAATAACCGTAAAGTCATCATTAGATAAATATACAAATAGCAAATGTACCCATATAAAGAATAATGGAGATATCATCGATCAGGCAAATCTAAGAACAGTAGGGACATGAAACATTAAAATAACACAAAAAAGAGAAAACGCAGTGGGAGACACAGATATCCATGAGGATATAAACTTGGGAACAACAACTGGACGCAAGTCGTCTAGGCCAATGGCTAGACAAAATCGGGAGCAGCACGACATCCAACACATCAGGAAGGTCGTCAAACCCGGCCATGGAAACCAAAAGTGAAAAATGCACCCAACAAGGGTTCAGCCGGCCAAAGAAAAAAAGCCTGTGGAAAAACCATGTGTGAAGCAGGAAGGAAGGATCATCACCGGATTCACAACAGAAGGTCACCCCAGAAAATCATCAGGCAGGCGGATCAGTTGACCGAGGAAGATGTGGGGTGCGTGAGGGTCTCTTCCGGTCTCCGCGAACTGGAGTCCAGATCCTGTTGTGGGTGGCGGAAGGACGTGATGGAGTAGATGGCAATGAGGACACATCATCTGACAAAGGTGGAAGTCCCAGCTGTTTCAGGAAAGAGTCTGTCTCTGGAAGATCACGGAGAACAGCTTGAGTATTGTTTCTAGATACGAGCAGCTTAAAGAGGAACCCCCAGCGATACGGGACACGGTGTTGCTGAAGGTGTGTGGTGATCAGCTTCAGCTCGCCGTTTGCCCAGGGTAATCGGGGACAGGTCGCAGAAGAGTTGGAGTCTGTCACCTTTAAATTACAGAGAGGATTTATGGCGAACTGCTGTTAGTAAGGCTTCTTTGCTTTGAAAGAAATGAAGCGAACTATGACGTCGCGTGGTCTGGTGCCTTCATCAGGCTTTGGGCCCAAAGAGTGATAAGCCCTATCCATTCGCCAATCAGCCTCTGGAACCATGGGAGCAG